TTTGGTACTTTGTATCCTAAGGAATGTTTATTTGCCTGTGCCAAAGTCATTGAATCTTTTTTTCCTACTGCTAAAGGTTCTACAGTTTTAGCTTTTACATGTAGGTGTATTGTCCATTTTGAGTAATTTTTTATACGATCAGATTTATTTTCCTCCCATATAAAGATATATGGGAGCAAACACCATTTGTTGACAAGACTGTCCCTCTCTCTTATGAACTGTCTTATCACCTTTATGGAAATCGGTTGGCCATGTGTGGATCTGTGTGTGGAATCTCTGTCCCACTCATATATCTAGTCTTACTGGATATAGCCATGTCACTATTGTAGTTTTTTAGAAAACTTTAAGAGTAGGCAATGTAAGTCTTCTAAGTGTGTTCTTTTTTTTCTCAAGAACTTTTGGCTATTCTATGTCCGTAATCTTGCATTTCCAACTGTAGAACTGTCTTAGTTTTCATAAAAAACAGGCCGGGATTTTAATTGGAATTGCATTGAATAAATAGACCAATTTGAGAAAGTTAAGAATGTAAACGATACTGTTTTCCATTCCATGAACACTGTAACTGTAGCTTTCCAGTCGTTTAGGTTTTCGTTTGGCTCCATACAGAAATTTAGTTTGATTGTATTTGTCAACTTCAGTAACAGGTACTACTTAGGTAATAACTTAACTGACCTATTATTTGCTGGACTTTGGCTGCTTACAGAATTGTGGCATTGCTGATTTCAGTGTCACCAGTTTGTGAAAAGGGCAGTGGTTAGGTAGACTTTTGAAAGAAACTGTTTCACGAACAGAGGTAATTATTGTTAAATCACTATGACAGTTTACTGCTTGGTGGCTAAATTAACCCCCATGTGGGAAACAAGAACAACTTAATGTTAACTCTTCTTCAAAGCAAATGGATTCCATTCTGTCTACCTCTCTATAAATAGAAGGCCAAACATCCCAAGTGTTCAGTAAAGACGGTTATGAGGATACAAGATGTGGGAAGAAAAAAGGGCAGGGTCAACCTTATCAATCGTTTCTAACCTTAAAGGCAAATGGAACCTTGCTTGCCTTGTCATCTTCCTGTTATTGCCGAGAGTGGCCAAGTAGGCAGAAGAGGAGGAGCAGTACAAGTGTGGGCCTCTCCTGCCTACAGTAATATGCTGGTCATATAGGAGGTCGGAGAGCAGGACAGTGTAATCATACTCACTTCAGTTCAGTTCAGTTCAGTTCAGTCGCTCAGTTGTGCCCGACTCTTTGCAACCCCATGAATCGCAGCACGCCAGGCCTCCCTGTCCATCACCAACTCCCGGAGTTTACTCAAACTCATGCCCATCGAGTCGGTGGTGCCATCCAGCCATCTCATCCTGTGTCGTCCCCTTCTCCTGCCCCAATCCCTCCCAGCATCAGGGTCTTTTCAAACGAGTCAGCTCTTCACATGAGGTGGCCAAAGTACTGGAATTTCAGCTTCAGCATCAGTCGTTCCAGTGAACACCCAGGACTGATCTCTTTTAGTGTGGACTGGTTGGATCTCCTTGCAGTCTAAGGGACTCTCAGGAGTCTTCTCCAACACCACAGTTCAAAAGTATCAATTTTTCGGTGCTCAGCTTTCTTCACAGTCCAACTCTCACATCCATACATGACCACTGGAAAAACCATAGCCTTGACCAGACGGACCTTTGTTGGCAAATTAATGTCTCTGCTTTTTAATATGCTATCTAGGTTGGTCATAACTTTCCTTCCAAGGAGTAAGCGTCTTTTAATTTCATGGTTGCAATCACCATCTGCAGTGATTTGGAGCCCAAAAGAATAAAGTCTGACACTGAGTCCACTGTTTCTCCATCTATTTGTCATGAGATGATGGGACCAGATGCCATGATCTTAGTTTTCTGAATGTTAAGCTTTAAGCCAACTTTTTCACTCTCCTCTTTCACTTTCATCAAGAAGCTTTTTAGTTCTTGACTTTCTGCCATAAGGGTGGTGTCATCTGCATATCTGAGGTTAGTGATATTTCTCCCGGCAATCTTGATTCCAGCTTGTGCTTCATCCAGCCCAGTGTTTCTCATGATATACTCTGTATATAAGTTAAATAAGCAGGGTGACAGTTTACAGCCTTGATGTACTCCTTTTCCTATTTGGAACCAGTCTGTTGTTCCATGTCCACTTCTAACTGTTGCTTCCTGACCTGCATACAGGTTTCTCAAGAGGCAGGTCAGGTGGTCTGGTATTCCCATCTCTTTCAGAATTGTCCACAGTGTATTGTGATCCACACAGTCGAAGGCTTTGGCATAGTCAATAAAACAGAAATAGATTTTTTTTTTCTCTGGAACTCTTGCTTTTTCGATGATCCAGCAGATATTGGCAATTTGATCTCTGGTTCCTCTGCCTTTTCTAAAACCAGCTTGAACATCTGGAAGTTCTCACTACTAAACCACAAACATCTTGTACAGTCTGTCAGCAAAAACAAGGCCATTTCCTACTTGGTATTTTGCAGAGAATTCATTTCTTCACATTTTTGGGGGGAGGGGGGCGGCAGGGTGGAATACCATGGGGTGTATAGTTATATATATTCATTTTGCACCACCTCTCTTGTGACATTGTGTATGTTGACAGCAAGGTTTTTTTTTTAAATTTTATTATTATTATTTTAATTGTAGTGGTTTTTGCCATACATTGACATGAATCAGCCATGGATTTACATGTGTTCCCCATCCCGATCCCCCCTCCCGCCTCCCTCTCCATCCCATCCCTCTGGGTCTTTCCAGTGCACCAGCCCTGAGCACTTGTCTCATGCATCCAACCTGGGCTGGTGATCTGTTTCACCCTGGATAGTATACTTGTTTCAATGCTGTTCTCTCTGAACATCCCACTCTCGCCTTCTCCCACAGAGTCTAAAAGTGTTCTGTATATCTGTGTCTCTTTTTCTGTTTTGCATATAGGGTTATCGTTACCATCTTTTAAAATTCCATATATATGTGTTAGTATATTGTATTGGTCTTTATCTTTCTGGCTTACTTCCCTCTGTATAATGGGCTCCAGTTTCATCCATCTCATTAGAACTGACTCAAATGAATTCTTTTTAATGGCTGAGTAATATTCCATAGTGTGTATGTACCACATCTTCCTTGTCCATTCATCTACTGATGGGCATCTAGGTTGCTTCCATGTCCTGGCAATTATAAACAGTGTTGCGATGAACACTGGGGTACATGTGTCTCTTTCAGATCTGGTTTCCTCAGTGTGTATGCCCAGGAGTGGGATTGCTGGGTCATATGGCAGTTCTATTTCCAGTTTTTTAAGAAATCTCCACACTGTTCTCCATAGTGGCTACTAGTTTGCATTCCCACCAACAGTGTAAGAGGGTTCCCTTTTCTCCACACCCTCTTCAGCATTTATTGCTTTAGCAGCCATTCTGACTGGTGTGTAATAGTACCTCATTGAGGTTTTGATTTGTATTTCTCTGGTAATGAGTGATGTTGAGCATCTTTTCATGTGTTTGTTAGCCATCTGTATGTCTTCCTTGGAGAAATGTCTGTTCAGTTCTTTGGCCCATTTCTTGATTGGGTCATTTATTTTTCTGGAATTGAGCTGCAGGAGTTGCTTGTATATTTTTGAGATTAATCCTTTGTCTGTTTCTTCATTTGCTGTTGTTTTCTCCCATTCTGAAGGCTGTCTTTTCACCTTGCTTATAGTTTCCTTTGTTGTGCAAAAGCTTTTAGGTTTCATTAGGTCCCATTTGTTTATTTTTGCTTTTATTTCCAATATTCTGGGAGGTGGGTCATAGAGGATCTTGACAGCAAGGTTTAAATGAGACATCAGTGATTGGTCAGGCCCTCTGAAGGCCATTTCTGCTGAGTAAGGATATTTTTTATATTAAAAACACCATGAATTCAGCAAAGCATCAGATCCATCAAGGAAAATTATATAGATAATTTTGGGTAGAGGAGATTAATTTGAAGTCTTTCTGTTCTTATATACAATTACTGATGGTATTTAGTATTACAGTGGATGCCAGCATATTTGACAAGTTGTTTTTCACTGATATGTTTTAAAATCTACATCTGTCACTGCAGAATGTTAGGTCAAGTTTATTTCCCTGCCCTTATCATTACCCTTTCCTCACACTTTAACTACAATTCAAAGGAAAGGATGAAGAAAAGAAAGCATATGTGTGGATATTGTTCGAAACGTGTATACTTCATTGTTAAAAAAACTTTTAAAACTGAAATATAATTCATTTACACTATTGTGTTAGTTTCAGGTATACAGCAAAGTGACTTTTTTATTTGTATATGTATATTTTTATATTATATATATATTATATATATATATATATACACACATATATATATATACATATATATATATTTTGGGCTTCCCTTGTGGCTCAGCTGGTAAAGAATCCGCCTGCAATGTAGGAGACCTGGGTTTGATCCCTGGGTTGGGAAGATCCCCCGGAGAGGGAAAGAGTACCCACTCCACTATTCTGGCCTGGAGAATTCCATGCACTGCAGAGTCCATGTCACAAAGAGTCGGACGCAACTGAGCAACTTTCACTTTCATACATATTTTAGATTATTTTCTCTAGTTATTACAAGGTATATTTTCTCTAGTTATTACAAGGTATTGTAGCTCCTTGTTCTATACAGTAAGTCTTTGTTACTCATTTATTTTATATATAGTAGTTTGTTAATCCCATACTCCTAATTTATCCCTCCCACTGTTTTCCTTTTTGTGAGCATAAGTTGCTTTCTGTCTGTGAGGCTGTTTGTTTTATATATAGATGCATTTCTATTATTTTTTTAGATTCTACATGTAAGTGATACAATATTTATCTTCGTGTGACTTACTTCACTTACTGTGGTATTCTCTAGGTCCATCCATGTTGCTGCGGTAGTATTTTTTATGGCCAGTGCTCCGTGTGTGTGTGTGTGTGTGTGTGTGTGTGTGTGTACACATACATGCTAACCCAGTCATCTGTTGATGGGCATCTGGGTTGGTTGCTGCGGTAGTATTTTTTATGGCCAGTGCTCCGTGTGTGTGTGTGTGTGTGTGTGTGTGTGTGTACACATACATGCTAACCCAGTCATCTGTTGATGGGCATCTGGGTTGGTTGCTGCGGTAGTATTTTTTATGGCCAGTGCTCCGTGTGTGTGTGTGTGTGTGTGTGTGTGTGTGTGTGTGTGTGTACACATACATGCTAACCCAGTCATCTGTTGATGGGCATCTGGGTTGGTTGCTGCGGTAGTATTTTTTATGGCCAGTGCTCCGTGTGTGTGTGTGTGTGTGTACACATACATGCTAACCCAGTCATCTGTTGATGGGCATCTGGGTTGTTTCCATGTCTTGGCTATTATAAATTGTGCTGTGATGAACATTGGGTGCATGTAGCTTTCAAATTAGTTTTCATTTTTTCTGGATATATGCCTAAGAGTGGCATTGCTGGATCATATGGTAGCTCTATTTTTAGTTTTTCAAGGAAACGCCATACTGTTTTCTGTAGTGTTTGCGCCAAGTTACATAACCACTTGACACACCAGGAGGGTTCATTTTTCTCCACATCCTCTTCAGCATTTATTATTTGTGGGCTTTTTGATAATGGTCATTCTGACCAGAGTGAGATGGTACCTCATTGGAGTTTTGACTTGCATTTCTAATAATTAGCATTGTGGGGCATCTTTTCACGTGCTTATTGGCCATCTGTATGTCTTTTTTGGAGAAATGTCTTTTTAGGGTTTTCTAGTCATTAAAAAAAATTTTTTTTTTGATACTGAGTTGTATGGACTGTTGTATATTTTGGAAGTGAAGACCTTGTTGCTCACATCATTTGCACATATTTTTTCCCAGTCCATATCTTTTCCTTTTGTTTATGGTTTCCTTTGCTATGTAAAAAACTTTTATGTTTGATTAGGTCCCATTTGATTTTGGGGTTTACTTTTTTAGCTTGGGAGACAATTTAAGAAAATACTACTACTATTCACGTCAGGGAATGTTTTGCCTATGTTCTAAGAGTTTTATGGTGTTATGTTTTATATTTAGGTCTTTAAATCATTTTGAGTTATTTTTAGATAACTCAGGGAGTGTGAGGGAGTATTCTAATTTCATTGGTATACATGAAGCTGTCCCACTTTTCCAGCACTGCTTGCTGAAGAGACTGTCTTTTCTCCATTGTATGTTCTTGCCTCCTTTGAGGAAAATTAATTGATTATAGGTGTGTGGGTTTATTTCTAAGCCCACAATTTTAACCCAGTGCTGGCTCTTCTAAGGACAGCTAGACAGCTTTCCTAATAGCACAAGAATAGATGTCACTGTCTCTACAAACAGAGGCCAGAGAATTCTATCCAGTTCCAAGTAGCAGCCAAGTCTAGCTTCAGGCCCTAGGATGACTAACTGTAGCAGCCCTTGCCTGAAGCAGTGACCCAGTAAATCCTCTTTGATGCCAACTTCCTCCTGTGACACTGTAGGCACCGAGGGAGTGTGCAGCAGGGAGCAGGAGCTGAGGGAGAAAACGGGACAGAGGATTCTTCATGTCTTCAGATCTACAAGACCTTGCCTTTTCTTTTTTGCTCAACATGGTATCCACAATTCCTAGCAGACCACCCATGTTGTTGAATGTGCTCCCAAGTATATTTTTAATCTTATTTGAGGGATTATTATACTCTGTGCAACTTTCTAAGTTTTTACATAGGTGTACACCTGTAAGACCCTTACACACTCAAGATAATAAACATATCTATTGTCCCCCAAAGTTTCCTGAGGCCTCTTGGGAATCCTTCCGTCTAGCCTCTGCCCCACTTCACCTCACCTCCAGGCAACCACTGATTTGCTGACACTGTTGATTAGCTTGCATTTTCCAGAAACTTACATAAATTCAACTCTGCAGTATATAAGTTTGTCTGGCTTTCTTCACTCAGGGTATTAGAGATTCATGTTGTTCAGTCGCTCAGTTGTGTCCAACTCTTTGTGACCCCATGGACTGCAGCACACCAGGCTTCCCTGTTCTTTGCTTGCTCAAACTCCTGTCCATTGAGTTGGTGATGCCATCCAACTATCTCATCCTCTTTTGGCCCCTTCTCCCCCTGCCCTCAATCTTTCCCAGCATCAGGGTGTTTTCCAAACAGTTGGCTCTTGGCATCAGGTGGCCAAAGTATCGGAGCTTCAGCTTCAGCATCAGTCCTTCAATGAACATTCAGGGCTGATTTCTTTTAGAATTGACAGGTTTGATCTCCGCACATGACTACTGGAAAAACCATAGCTTTGATTATACGGACCTTTGTCAGCAAAGTGATGTCTGTTTTTTAATACACTGTCTAGGTTTGTAACAGCTTTTTTCCAAGGAGTAAGCATCTTTTAATTTCATGGCTGCAGTCACCATCTGTGGTGATTTTGGAGCCCAAGAAAATAAAGTTTGTAACTGTTTCATTTTTTTCACCATCTATTTACCCATGAAGTAATGGGACTACATGCCATAATCTTTAAGGTTTTTGAATGTTGTTTTAAGCTAGCTTTTTCACTCTCGTCTTTCCCCTCATCAGAAGGCTCTTCAGTTCCTCTTCACTTTCTGCCATTAAGGTGGTGCCATCTGCATATCTGAGGTTATTGATACTGAGATTCCTGTAGCATGTATCAATAGTTCATACCTTTGAACTGCTGAATGTTACATCGTATGGACAAACTGAAACCATGAGGTGGCGTTCGGGGGTGCTTCAAGGAGCGCTGGTTCTCCAGTGGACTTTTCTTGGCCATGCCTGGTCAAGTTGCGACTGTCATGGAGCAGTGGAAATGCGCAAAAGGGCAGTAACGTGCTAAAAATGCTAAATCATACCAGGTTTTAATACAATGTAGCCTTTTCCTTATATTTTTTAGTGTGCACAGAGGAGTTACCCTGGGCACTTACTGAGCTCCCTGGGCAGGGACGTGGGACTCATGCCACAATTGTTTTATTGTTTGGGGGCATGTCCCCTGCTTCTGTTGCATGGTTTTGTTGCTAAGCAAACAAGCTTTCTTGAGTGATCTGGAATTCAATGACTCGATACCCAAAATGGTTGAATTAGATAGTTGGTATTTCCAAAATGACTTAATTTATGAAATGATAATTACAGCGCCCTGGATCCATCACTCAGTGTTGAACTTGTTGACTTATAATGTGAAGTGAGTTGGTCACAAGCTGTTTATTCTGTCTAGGTGGAAAATACTGTTCTGGCACATCAGGCTACAGCCAGGAGTCATAATTCTTGATTTCTTCCCGCCCTTTCAGATTTTTTAGGTTTAGAGGTCTTCTGTTGGGTCTTCCCTCTCCTTTTCAGTTGCCCCAACACAGGCACCTGTTACCAGTACTCATAGTGGACCCCTCGCCAAGTTGGGGAGTGGTAGGCCACTTGACCCCATGTCCCCAGGGATGTCTTTGCAGAATGTGCCAGGAATTCTCTGAAAATGAATCTGGTAGTAGAAATAGAGGAATTGTAGCCTCAGCCTTACAAATGTGTTCACTGATGTCATTTAACTACAATTACTGTTTGCATGTCTCAGGAAAAGCCATTCTCCCCACTGCTGGTGGAAGTGCATAAAGATTCAGACATCCTGGAAGGGACTTCAGTAGTGTCATACAAAATAATTGCAAAGCCATGAAAATAAATGTCCACAAATTGTATTTTAGAATCCTACAAAGAATTTTAAAATATGATGAAAATTGATAGTGACATGGAAAGAAATTCATACCGCTAAAGAAACAACTAAAACGAGCATAGGACATAGACACAGCAGAGTTTGTGTGAGGGGTTACCTCCTGGGAGAGAAGCAGAATTAGAGTGAAATAAAGAGATTTTTGTTTCTTTTCTTTCACTAAAGAAAATAAACTTTACCAAAAGGAATAAATTACTATATTGTTTGTATTTATAAAAATAGTAAGATAACATAACCCAGTGGTTATAGGAGCCATCAAGTAGTTCAGCGGTGTAACTGAAAAAAGTAGGTCTGACAGAAACTTGATGTGGTATCTGCACACAGACAAATCTTTTCTTTTACTATATCTGGGTTACATAACCTTACTAATAAAAATTTTAAATTATTATTAAATCTTGTGGCCATATCTAAAGCAGAACATGAAAAGAGAAAACATCCTTTCTAAATAAATTTGCTGTTAATGTCATGATAAAAAATTGCACCTAATTTTTTAAGCTGAACTCTTAAAATATTAACTCTGTAAAATACTGTTGTTCACAGTGTTAAAAGTTTTAAATGTGTTTTACTTTTAAGAGGGAAAAAGTAACTCTACCTATAAACTAATGGAACTGTCAAAAGTAAAATTATAAAAAATACTTCAGTAAAACATACACTTCTGTTTTCTAACTACCTTAACAAAGCTGCAGTTGGTTTTTTAAAACATTTTATTTCATGGTATTTTACACAGAATAATACAACAAAGGACAATTGCTTTGGTTAAAATTCTTATAAATGACCTGAAAATTTTATTAGCTCTTCTGTTTTTAATGGCAAATTTATCACTAAGTAGCTGAGTTAAAAAAAATTAAAAGCACTTCTATTCAACCCTTGAAATCTAGGATCTAGCTGGACAGTCTTATCAATTCTATGATTTAAAAGAAGAAAACAGGAGCTGTAATCTCTTTTAAAATAATCACCTACGATTAAAAAAAATCCTGGCATATTGAAAGCTTTAAGGAGATGATAGAAAAATATATTCTATATCAGATTGCTTTGGCCATGGCAGATTTTCTACATGGAAATGATTTGAAAAATAAAAATTTCTACTGGTTTCCAAGACAACAGTCTTGTTCAGTACTTATTGATTTGTTAGATTCCCTTATTCTTTTGGTTATAAAACAGCCAAGCCCCATTCCTTGGTCTGTGGTTGCCCTAAAAATTTGGCAAATATCAAACATCTTCCATTGGGCCTTGATTTCTTCCTATTTTAAATAGAGGGAAAGTAAGTGGCGGAGCGAAGACTAGAACCCGAGTCTCGTAATGCCCAGGGATGCCCCTTCCCCTATGTAACATAATCGCTCACTGGCAATGAAAGTTATTGCCAACTCTCATTGGCAATCGTTTCAATATTGAAACTATTACATATATAATAACTCAGTATCCTTAAAGGCAAACAGTAGTGAAAATTTTACTCATTCCATCTAGCAACTGTAAATTAACAGGAAAAAATATATATAATCTATTTTCTATAGTTCAGACAATAAACTTAATTCTCTACTGATAATATCAGGGCGAGCCAGTGATTAAGTGTTAGTTACACAATGAAATACTTAGTAACTAAAATGAAAAGTCTTACTTATTCCACTTGGTGATATGGTCCGTTGTAGCTTGAGTACATGAAAAAAACTGTTATTAGCATCAAGGTTTTCTCTTGGTCATTGGTCCTGCAAGTAATGAGGTTGCACTTAACCCACAAACACTTGGGCATACATGGTCTTGCACTTGACTTGTTAGAATTCCTATCTCTTATAATCATACTTTGAAATAATGCAATCAACCCTGTTTCATATCTTGTCTATATGTGGGAGCTGAAATTATTTAGCCCAGTAGGCTGCTGTAGGGCGTAACTTGAATTAACTGTTTTCCTGAGATTGATATAGTGTTGGTATTGAACTTAGGAGTTACATGTTTTCAAAACATATTTATAGCCTGTGTATCCCGGTGTTATCTGTGTATAACAACTATTTGCAACTGACAGGCTGTTTGGAGGCATTTGAGCTACTGCCATAATTGCTTTTAACAATGCACGTTATTTTGCTTCCTGCAAATTGTCATCATTATTTTGAAATATTAAGAAAATGTTTGATTAGATTCATCCACTTAATGTCTGTGAATAAAGCAAACTACAACGGTTCTGACATCCCCAGCAGCACCTGGATATCCCTAACTGCCTGCTAACATGAGATGCAGTTTTAAGTCTGGATTCATAAAGCTAGAAGAAACCTTGGGGGAAAACTGGGTTTAAACCCTCACCTGACAAAGGCAGGCCCAAGGGGGCAGAAAGGCGGGGTGGCTTGTCCCAGGGTGCGCCACTGGGTGATCAAGAGTCAGAGCCCCGCCTCCGGGTTTCATCCAGAGCTCTGTGATGATGCTTTCCCCTTTTCTCATGTCGTGGCACACAGAGAAAATGACATGGTGTTAAGACACACTGAGGTAAACTGCAGGGGACATGGGACTTCATGAAAAATTCATGACATTTTCTATTAAAAAATTATGAACTGTGTAAATTACAGAAAATTTTTAAAAAATCCTATTTTTAACACACAACCTCTTGTAATTATCCTTGTTTCACTAAGGTAATACTAGCATCACTGCAGTTTAGTGGAAGCATCTCTTGTGTTGGGCGAGAAGCTGCCTTTGGACACCTACACGCTAGGTTGATAACCAGTGAATTACAATGAGTCATGTAAGACTGTGATCACTTAGGCATTAAGTTCAATAACCCATTTACATAACCCTGTAATATTAATTCATATATAGTCAGCTTGGATTTCTCCATAGCCGCCACCCTCAAACCAACACATACATATACACTCATCAATCAGCATACATAACTGCTGATGGACACTTCTTCCAGTGACTACTGAATGTCACAAAGACAGCTACATTATGCAGAAATGAAGTGGCTACAGTCTTGCCCCGCTGGCATACATTTCAAACTTGACTTTGAAAATATGAAAGGTTAACAAGTTCTATTGGCACTTAAAAATAGACTGATTTCTGTAAAACATTTTTAGTAATTTACATTTAAAAATACATACTGAGCACAAGGACAAACTAAAAAAACGTATTCAGTGATACTTACGAAGAGTTAAGTAACGGTTCATCTCCTATTTTCCATTTGTCTTTGACCTGTTATTTACTATTGATTTACAGAAGCTAGGACTGTTTTTGAAATTTAATAACTTCCTGGGGTTAGTTGGAGGCTAATTATGAAAAAGGAAACACCTCAATTCTGAGTATGAAAGCCTGCCTTGCATACTGGTTACTTCAAGAACCCCAAAAGGTACTACTTGTGCATGCTAAATAAGTAAGTCTTTTCAGTTGTGTCTTTCTTTGTGACCCTATGGACCATAACCTGCCAGGCTCCTCTGTCCATAGGATTCTCCAGGCAGGAATACTGAAATGGGCTGCCATGCCCTCCGTCAGGGGACCTTCCTGACCCAGGGATTGAACCCGCATCTCAACGTCTCCTACATTGGCAGGTCGTTCTTTACTACTAGTGCCACCTTCTATTCAGAATCAGTGTGATGTTCATGAGGCGAAACATACAGCTGTATGCCTGTCTCATCTCCAACCAATCAAAATTAGTGAAATACACAGCTGTCACAGCAGAGACAATGGTGTTTTGACTTTAATAGTAGTTAGAGCCAGGAGGAAAAGACAAAAACATACAACAAATACGTAGATAAAAGTGAAAAACTGAGTAACGGGGGCTATTTAACTTACATGGAGGTACAGGACTCAGTGCTCACAGGGAATCTTGGCTTCATTCCATGGAGGAGGGTCCCCCCCCCCGCCCCCGTTTTAGTTGCCTATCCCTGCCCCCAAAGGTCAGACCAAAATGAATCATGGTAAATTCTGGCTGACTGCTGTACTTCACTGAAAGAAGTTATCTGTTACATAGCAATCACCCACATTATGGCAAAAACAGCCTGTGAACTATAAACATACTCAGCAGGACAAGCTCACGCCTCAAAGAGAAACTGCCCTGACTCTGGAAGGAGACCGGACGGCCGCTCCACTCAGCCCCACATGAGCTCCCGTCCCGACGTCACAGAGCCGCGTCCTGTAGGCCAGGTGTGTGCTCACCACCCGATGCAGGGGTCTGGGCAGTCCCGCAGGTACGTCTCAAACTGACCTTTGGTAACATCTATCAAGACTGTGTATACCGTCAGCTGAAAGAAAAGTCAACTTTTATTTTAAGGATGTTTTCAGTTTTAAGATGACTACTTGTATTAGCATTTCTTATGGAACTGCTTATAAAGTTACTAAACATTAAATTTATTGTTGCCCTATCGCTGAGTTGTGTCCTACTCTTTGTGACCCCATGGACTGCAGCACGCCAGGCTTCCCATAATGGATGTGTGTGTGTGTGTGTGTAAAGACACAACAAATATAAAGATCAACATAATAAGTCAATAATGATGAAAACAACTGACTTCAACAGAACCATTACCATGTCATAAATATAAACAGGTGTGGCAGATAATGTTCAGTTCTTTACAAGGTCTTAATTCTGTGCAGTATACTGCTTCACAAACAATGTTTTAAGGCTCACTTAACGCTCCTCATGGGAAATAGATGGGGAGACAGTGGAAACAGTGTCAGTGTCAGACTGAATTTTTTTGGGCTCCAAATCACTGCAGATGGTGATTGCAACCATGAAATTAAAAGACGCTTACTCCTTGGAAGGAAAGTTATGACCAACCTAGACAGCACATTAAAAAGCAGAGACATTACTTTGCCAACAGAGGTCCGTCTGGTCAAGGCTATGGTTTTTCCAGTGGTCATGTGTGGATGTGAGAGTTGGACTATGAAGAAAGCTGAGTGCCGAAAAATTGATGCTTTTGAACTGTGTGGTGTTAGAGAAGACTCTTGAGAGTCCCTTGGACTGCAAGGAGATCCAAGCAGTCCATCCTAAAGGAAATCAGTCCTGGGTGTTCGTTGGAACGACTGATGCTGAAGCTGAAACTCCAATACTTTGGCCACCTCATGCGAAGAGCTGACTCATTGGAAAAGACCCTGATGCTTGGAGGGATTGGGGGCAGGAGAAGGGGATGACAGGATGAGATGGTTGGATGGCACCACCGACCCAATGGACATAGGTTTGAGCAGACTCCGGAAGTTGGTGATGGATAGGGAGGCCTGGCGTGCTGCGACTCATGGGGTCGCACAGAGTCAGACATGACTGAGCAACTGAACTGAACTCAACTGAACGCTCCTCAATGCATACTTTGCAAAGACCAGCGGTGTACTGTGGAGTATAAAAAGCGTAGCTTTGGCTTTCCTTATCCTGGAAGCATTTCTCATGCAGTCAGGGAAACACTGCAGACATGCAGGTTAGAAGGTACACACCCAACTCACACAAGAATCTGTAAGTAACCCAACTGTGAACTCAAGCAAAGATGGCGTGGGCAAAATGAGATGTTAGGGTTAATGGGCAGAGGGGAAGCTTCCCTCAGAAGCCAGGTTCTCATCAAAATGCTAATGGGCAGGACACATGGAGGTATACTCATCTTAGGGTTCAGCAAAAGAAGGCAAGGAACAAATGGGAAAAATCAGAGGGATCAGAAACACGCAAGAGGGAGGCTATTAGCAAACTGGATGATCAGAAGACTTTTGCATATTTTAGCTGAAGAGTAGGGAAAAGGGAAAAGGCTATAATAACGTTTAAGAAAAAAACCTAATCCACTAAGACAGAAAGCTGTCTGAAAATAACTTCAGACTTCGTTTTGTCTAGTATTAGGTGTTAGTTGCAGCATACAGCATTCAATTCCTCATGGACGGAGAAGTCACTAATAACATGCTAAATTCAATCCAAATGCCATGTAAGTAATACTGGAAATAATACTCTGACCAAACTGGATATCAAGCTGCAGTGACCAACTTCTTTGTTACACTCCAAGAGTTTCAGTTTTGGTCACACAAAAACATTTTAAAAAGCAGCCTTAAGCTGAACATGACTTGGAATTCTAGCTCTCATTGATCCAAGACAAAGGGGAAAGATAAAACATGGGATCAAATTCTTTTCCTAAAATCAAATACACACACACACACACACACACACATATAAATATTTTAAAAAATACCTTGTTGAGGACAGGTTTTGTTGACAAGACATCATACATGGTTGCAAATGAGATATTCTAAAACACAAAAATAGTTATTCTCAGTACATTAAATATGGATGTTGGCAGCTTTATCCACACAAATGGGTCATTAGACCAAGATATTCTTCAATCAACCTCCCCCTACCCTCATAAAAGAATTCCCCTGGGGTCACTGTTGCAGGTGATGATTCTGATATAACACGCTTGCTTTCTCTTCCTCCCCTCTTGAATTGCTGACATTCAGCCCCACAGAGTGGTAGCCACCATTAACAAGGGAAAAGCATGGCAAAATTTTGCTCTTTACATTAAAAACAAAAACTCAGTGGAAACTGTCCAGAGACAATGATTGTTAGGAGGTTTATAAATTCTTTAAAGGCCAGTGAAAAATGTTAGAATGGAGATAATCTTCTGTAGTCACCATTTCTCTCATATGTATGACACTGGGAATGTACCTCTTGGGTTGTCTGGTTCAGACACATCTTTGCAGGTGTTCTGCGATCATCAAGGAAGAAGGGGTTTTTCCATCGGTCATAATTTGTTTGTACCACATACCATCTACCCTGCTTGGGGTCGAGTCTAGATACAAAGAAAGAGATTTCTCCTAGGCTTCACGCCTTAAACCCACACATACGTCTGTCTATGCTTTAGTTTCTGCTTGTTTTACTTGAGCAAATGTACTTACTCATATACATCCAGAGACTGTGTTCTGTCTCGTGTAATCACACAACCCTCCCCAGACTGGTTGCCTCCCAGGATAAAGTATGCTGGGGCCAATATCTTGGTTTTGGTCAATATATTCTTGGTTTCTTCATAACTACAAAGAAACATTTAGAACAAAGGAAACACTTTTAGTTGACCTGAAATGGAAATTTTTAGCTGTGGAAACTAAGGGAAGACATCTGAGGAACATTTTTCTAAAAAGGAGAGTGAACAATGGCTCAGGGAAAAACAGTCCCTCGCTCCTCTGCAGTGAAACAGTGAGATCTGAAATGTTCCCTCAAATGTGAAGGACGAATGAAACATCCTCAGGAGATCATCATCTTCCCTTACAGTCTATATACCTTTCACTCAACAACAGGACTAGGGAAAATAATATAACATATTTTATTACTTGAAAATCAGAGCTATCAAAAATGGAAATGGATTTTCAAAGAAGACTACTAAATTGTATGCCCTGGAAATCATTAAAAATAGGACTCATGCCCACATTTCCTCTAGGTCATTTGGATGGTAGTACTGGTTAAAGGCAGTTTTGCTACTCCCAGATTTCTATACCAGCACAGAATGTAACTTCTAGATTAACAGGTATTATGAATTAAGTGAAGATTTTTTATATAAAATTCTTTTCTGTATAGATGGGGGATTGTTTGTATAACAAGAAAACTTCACAGATGCCCTTCACAGATACACTATCCCTAGTATGTTTTAAATAAGTAATTTTCTTGCTGTAAACACACACACACAAACATGAAGAATTCCATGTGAGTGTCAAAAAGGTTCACCTAAGAAATTCTGAAATAATTTCTCAATGGAAGGTAAAGCTCAGAAGTATTTTAATATTAGTAATTTAAAAGAAACTACATTAAACGGTTCATGTACCAAGATGCAAAGATGGTTTCAACATCCACAAACTAATCAATTTGATACAACCATTAAAACAATGAAGGACAGATGAATGGATGAAGAAGTTGTGGTACATATATACAATGGAATATTATTCAGCCATAAAAAAGAATTAATTTGAGTGAGAGTGAGGTGGATGAACCTAGAGCCTGTTATACAGAGTGAAGTAGGTCAGCAAGAGAAAAACAAATACTGTGTATTAACACATATATATATGGAATCTAGAAAGATGGCACTGATGAACATCTGCGGGGAAGGAAGGAAGACACAGATACAGAAAATGAACCTGTGGACACAGTGAGGGAAGGAGAAAGTGGGACAGGTGGAGAAAGCAGCATCGACATACACACACTACCACCTGTAAAGTAGAAGCCGGTGAGAAGCTGCTCTATAACACACGGAGCCCAGTGGTGCTCTGTGATGACTTAGATGGGGGGTGGAGAGGGAGGTTCAAGAGGGAGATGCTGCTGCTGCTGCTAAGTCACTTCAGTCATGTCTGACTCTGTGCGACCCCACACACGGCAGCCCACCAGGCTCTGCCGTCCCTGGGATTCTCCAGGCAAGAACACTGGAGTGGGTTGCCATTTCCTTCTCCAATGCATGAAAGTGAAAAGTGAAAGTGAAGTCGCTCAGTTGTGTCTGACTCTTCGTGACCCCATAGACTGCAGCCTACCAGGCTCCTCCGTTTGTGGGATTTTCCCGGCAAGAGTACTGGAGTGGGTTGCCATTGCCTTCTCCCAAGAGGGAGATGATATGTGTATAATTAAGATGAATTGCATTGTCGTATGGCAGAAAACAACACACTATAAACCAATTTCCTTCCAATTAAAGAATAAAAAAATGAAGGATAAAAATATGATCTTAACAGATGCATTTGACAAAATTCAACATCTCAAAAAAGTGTGTGCAGAGGGAACATACCTTAACATAATTAAAGGCCATATAAGAGAAACCCACAGTTAATATTATACTCAATAATGAAAAGTTATAAGTTTTTCCTCTAAGATTAGGAACAAGACAAACTTGTCTACTCTCAGCATTTTTATTCAATATAGTATTGGCAGTATTAGCCAGAATAAGGCAAAAAAAAAAAAAAAAGAAATAAAAGGTATCCAAATCAGAAAGGAAGAAGTGAAATTGTCACTATCTGCAGATGACATAATACTATAATAAAGACTCTCCACCAAAAAAAAGAAAAACTTTTAGGAATAATAAATTCAGTAAAGTTTCAGGATATGAAATCAGTATACAAATATCAGTTGTGGTTCCATACACTAGTAACAGGATCAGAAAGAGAAATTAAGAAAATAGTCCCATTTGCAATCACATTCAAAAGAATAAAATACATGGGAAAAAATTTAACCAAAGAGGTGAAAGACCTGTACACTGGAAACTATAAGACACTGATGAAAGAAGTAGAAGACGCAAATAAAGATATTCCACGGTCATGGATTGGAAGAATTAATGTTAAAATGTCCACACTACCCCAAAGAAATCTACACAGATTCATTGCAACCTCTATCAAAATTCTAAGGGCATTTTTCACAGAAATAGAACAAACAATCCTAAAATCTGTATGGAATAACAAAGGCCATGAATAGCCAAAGCAATCTTGAAAAAGAAGAATATCTATATTTCAAACTGTATTACAAAGCTACAGTAATCAAAACCATGCTGCTGGCATAACACTGGACAGCCCATAATTAATTTATGAAAAAGGAACCAAGAATACACACTGGGGAAGAACAGTCTCTGCAAAAGATGGTGTTTGACATGAAAAGATGCTCAACATCACTCATTATCAGAGAAATGCAAATCAAAACCACAATGAGGTACCATTACACACCAGTCAGGATGGCTGCTATCCAAAAGTCTACAAGCAATAAATGCTGGAGAGGGTGTGGAGAAAAGGGAACCCTCTTACACTGTTGGTGGGAATGCAAATTAGTACAGCCACTATGGAAAACAGTGTGGAGATTTCTTAAAAAGCTGGAAATAGAACTGCCATATGACCCAGCAATCCCACTTCTGGGCATACACACCGAGGAAACCAGATCTGAAAGAGACACGTGTACCCCAATGTTCATCGCAGCACTGTTTATAATAGCCAGGACATGGAAGCAACCTAGATGCCCATCAGCAGATGAATGGATGAGGAAGCTGTGGTACATATACACCATGGAATATTACTCAGCCATTAAAAAGAATTCATTTGAATCAGTTCTAATGAGATGGATGAAACTGGAGCCCATTATACAGAGCGAAGTAAGCCTGAAAGATAAAGACCATTACAGTATACTAACACATATATATGGAATTTAGAAAGATGGTAACGATAACCCTATTTGCAAAACAGAAAAAGAGACTCCTATGTATAGAACAGACTTGTGGACTCTGGGAGAAGGCGAGGGTGGGATGTTTCAAGAGAACAGCATTGAAACACGTATATTATCTGAGGTGAAACAGTTCACCAGCCCAGGTTGGGTGCATGAGACAAGTGCTCGGGCCTGGTGCACTGGGAAGACCCAGAGGGATTGGGTGGAGAGGGAGGTGGGAGGGGGGACCGGGATGGGGAATACATGTAAAAAAAAAAAAAAAAAAAAGATACACTATGGTTGTGATAAAAAAAAAAAAAAAAAAGATGGTGTTTGGGAAACTGGACAGCTACACGCAAAAGGATGAAACCAAACCACCATCTCACACCATACACAAAAATCAAAATGTGTTAAAGATTTAAACCTAACACCTGAAATCATAAAACTCTTAAAGGAAAACAGGTGATACACTCCTTGACACAGCTTGGCAATAATTTTTAGACCTGCTGCCAAGACAAAGTAACAAAGACGAAAATAAACAAGTAGGACAACGTCAAATTAAAGAACTTCTGCACAGCAAATAAAACCTTCAACAAAATGAAAATGCAACCTACTCAACTGGATAAAATACCTGTAATTCATACATCTGGTAAGGATCTATTTTCCAAAATGTATATAGAACCGACACAACTCAATAGCAAAAAACAGACAATCTGATTTTAAAATGGACAAAGGGTCTGAACATTTTTTCAGAGATGAGATACAGGTGGCTAACAGGTACACACGAAGTTGGGAAATGCGAACCAAAGCAACGATAAGAATCATCTCACATCTGTCAGACTGGCTATTATCAAAAAGACAAGAGATAAGTGTTGACCAAGATGTGGAGAAAAGGGAACCAGGTGGAATTGGGTGGAATATAAACTGGTGCAGTCACTATGGAACCACCAGTATGGAGGTTCCTCAAAAAACTAAAACTACCACATGACCTAAGCAATCCCACTTCTAAGTAATGATCTGAGGACATGAAAACACTAACTCCAAAAGATACTCACACCCCCACATTAACTGCAGCATTATTTATAATAAGCCGAGTTATGGAAACAACCTAAGTATCTAAGGATGAATGGATAAAGAAAATGTGGTATATATACAACAGAATATTATTTAACCATAAAAAAGAATGAAATTTTGCCACTTGTGACGAAACGGATGGGCCTTGAGAGCATTTTGCTAAATGAAATAAATTAGACAAAGACAAATACCATGTGATCACACTTAGAAGTAGAATCTAAAAACAAAAAATAAAAAAAAATTCACAGGTAGAGAACAAACTGGTGGCTGACAGAGGTGGGGGCAGGGTGGTGAGAGGTGGGTGAAATGGGTGAAGAGGGTCAAAAGGTACAAAATTCCAGTTATAAAATAAGTCCTGACGATGTCATGTACATCACAGTGACTATAGTTAATAATACTGTACTGAATATTTGAAAGTTTCATAGAGAATAAATCTTAAAAGGTCTCATCACAAAGAAAAAAAACCTAACTGTGTGGTGACAGATGTTAACTAGACTTATTGTGATCATTATGCCATATAAATAAATAAACATTTTGTAGTACATCTTATACTAACATGTCAATTATACCTCAAGGAAAAATTAAAAAAATAAAAAATCTGATAATAAAGCAACCAAACAGATTACCTTGTGCTATTTTCTAGAACTGATCTAATGATAAACCCTATCCACTGGGCATCTTTCTTTCCCAAAATCCATTCTATGACACCTGGAAGAGATAAAACACACACAGTGTCACAGGACCTAGAAGAGATTAAACTATTAAATCAGAAAGCACAGCCGAACCTTCTTCTTAAAACAGCTATGAAATTCCCATTTAAGAACTCTCTACTCACCCATAAAACCACCATCCATACTGAAGCGTTCATTGAGTGTAACACTAAACAATCCCTGAAAAGAAAACAAAGCAGTGAGGTCAGAAACCTGCACCATCCTGTTTAAGGCCCTCTCACAGGGCTCTTTTAATCCTGTTATATCAGGGCCTAGATTGGGAACTTTGGCGTGTGTGGGAGAGAAAAAAAATCAAGGCATGATACTCTCACCTTCTGTTAACAGCTTTTTTTAGAAGGTCAAAGCATTTTTCACATCTAGTGTGTGAGATAAGTAGATGGATGTTATTGGCCACACTTTTCCAACAAGGAAACTGAAGTGCAGGGACTTAATGACTAACTTGCCTGAGGGGCAAAGCCATGGCCAGATTCCAAGGTTTACACTCACAGGCCTAGAGACCTACCATGGGCTTTATCTCCATAAAAGGCTCAAAAATCCTCACTTCCTCCTACTCTTCTCTACCTTGTGAGCTAAAGGTAACAAGAAGTACAATGGGAGGAACTGGGGCTTCACATTCTTTTCAGGTTCTCCTTTCCTCAGACTCCATCATGCAGAGCTCCCTGTAAAATCTGGTAACAACAGATTCCTTACTGGTTTGAATCCTGTTAACATGCCCACATAGCCAGCAAAGGCTGTTGCCTTGAAGAGAGTTTTATTGCTCCTTTGGAAGTCCAAATTCACTGTTAAAGGTTTTAGTTCCTCAGTTACGACCCAAGTATCATTATTTATATTCCACCTACAAAAGACAAATTTCAGTGACATTTAATAACAGTGACTGTAAGGATGAGCATGATGACGACGGTCAGGCATGATGCTGTGCTGAGTGCTGGGCTTAGTCGCGCAGTCGTGTCCGACTCCTTGCAACCCCAAGGACTGTAGGCCACCAGGCTCCTCTGTGCAGGGGAATTCTCCAGGCAAGAATACTGGAGTGGGTTACCATGCCCTCTTCCAGCAGATCTTCCCAATCCAGGGACTGAACCCAGGTCTCCCACATTGCAGGTGGATTCTTTACTATCTGAGCCACCAGGGAAGCCTGGTCAGATATTATGCCAGATGCTTTACTGACCTAATCCCCAATGATCAATATTCACAAAGATTTTCCAATATAGTTAAGCTTTATCTTCCATTTTCCATAAGATAAAACAGGATCAGAGAAGTTAAGTAACTCCCCCAACATGACACAGCCTATAAATAGCAAATCCCAGATAATATTTAGGTCTCCAATTACAAAGCACTGTCATATTTTTTTTCAGGAAGGTAAAGAAGACACATGAACTAGAATGCTGTTCTTTTACTCTCAACTGAATAGGAGCATGCTTAATCTGGCCTAAAAACTAAAGAATCTAGGGTCCTCCTTTCTGGTCATATTCTGGGAATGACTTGGTACTTAACTTTTTTATCAATGTAATACTACCTACTCTTCTTAGGGATTGAGACATACCACATTTTTTTTTTTTAGTTACCCAAGAAATAATCCAAAATCCATGTTTCGCCCATGTAGTAGATGACCTAAATTGAAAGCAAGCAGAAGAGATATGTAACAGCAATTATGACGGGATGATTGATTCTAAACCAAAGCTGGACACTTAATTTTGGTTAAGTGATATTCCTAACTGTTCAACAGTAAGAATTAAGTAGCACCTAATATCACAAGCTTTAACAAATGAAAAGGCTGTCCCTGTCACACTGGCCAGATTCCCCCTCAGTAGCTGAGAGCACAGGGCTCCAGGTAAGGTTAGAAGATGGGGAAAGATCAGCAGCCATGATTTTTGTTCACCGTGACACGGTCCTCCTCAGAAGAAGCTATCTCGGCCTCACCTAATATGATTTACCAACACGCTTCCCTTCAGGGATTGTCACCTACAGCTATACCCAGAGTATAGGTCAAAAAATAACAGTGAATCAGGGTACATCACCCTGGGCCTTATAATCTAAGGACTTGCCAGGAAAAATATGGAAAAGTGAAGCTGGTCTACACAGGGTCCCTTAGCCGGAAAATGATGGGAGAATCTCTGTTCTGCTCTGTGAGTACTTAGATCAAATTATAAATAGGGGTGTAAGTAGCCTATGAATGTTTTCAGTCCTGAAACAATTTGTGCAAGAGGTGTGCATGCCTAAATTAAACTTTAATAGCCGTTACAGTGATCTTAAAATAAGAACAGTTTTCAATTCACTTTCAAAAACTTAATCAAGATCTATAAAACCCTATGCAACATGCAAACCTGTGTTTTACAAGTTCTAATTTCATTTCAGTATTTTTCTTCTATTTTGTTTCTTTGCACCACCCACCCTCCCCCAGTACACATTCATTTACCTTCTTTGTCTTCTGTTATTATTGAAGTACAAATGGTAAAAAATTCATAGAAAATATTGAATAAAATAATCTCTCCTATGAGAAAAAAAAAGGAAATTTTCTGGTCAATACACAGAAGCATGACATTGTTAGAAAATCCTTTTCTAAGAAAAGGTGTAACTATTGTCATCATGTGAGTTTTTGCTTGGGCAAACGTTAAGTGTCTGCAGGTAATCTGAGCGAGCCTGCACGGCTGGTGGGGTAGGGGTCTCTTTCTCTCTGTCAAAGGCACTATGGGAATTCACTGAGGGAAGGATAGCCTTTTTAGTAAATAGTACGGTCAACTGGAAAGAACTTGAACTTTGATCCCTAACCAATACCATATGCAAGTTAATTCAAGATACACCATGGGCCTATATGTAAAAAGTAAACAAAAGTCATAGAGAAGAAAACACACAAGAATTATGTTTTGGGGGCACGCAAAGATCACTTATGTGAGTCGCTCAGTCATGTCTGACTCTTTGCGGTCCAATGGACTACAGCCCGCCAAACGCCTCTGTCTATGGAATTCTCCAGGCAAGAATACTGGAGTGGGTAGCTTATCCCTTCTCCAGGGGATCTTCTCAACCCAGGATCAAACCCAGGTCTCCCGCATCAGGCTGGGAGAATCAGGTTGATTCTTCACCAGCTGAGCCACAGGGGAAGCCCAAGAATACTGGAGTGGGTAGCCCATCCCTCCTTCAGCAGATCTTCCCAACCCAGGAATTGAACCAACTGGGGTCTCCTGCACTGCAGGCGGATTCTTTACCGACTGAAACACTGTGGCTCAGCTGGTAAGGAATCTGCCTGCAATGTGGGAGACCTGAGTTCAATCCCTGGGTTGGGAAGATCCCCTGGAGAAGCGAAAGGCTACCCACTCCAGTATTTCCAGCCTAGAGAATTTCATGGACTGTACAGTCCATGGGGTCGCAAAGAGTCGGACATGACTGAGTGACTTTCACTTTCACTTTCTTTACCAACTTGAGCTATCAGGGAAGCCCCAATTAAACCATAATGAGTGAAAGTAACACATTCAACAAAATGCCCAAATAAAAGAGAGTGACACTATTACACGGAGAATCAGCAAGTGGAAAAAAGTCTTGTATCAATACTATGCTAACTGTCAATGGTTACAATCACTTTGAAAAACTGGTTGGCAGAGACTCCAAGGCTAAATTACTCAGCTACCCTATAACCCAGGTCATATCCCAGAGAAATGAGTGTACATGTCCATAAAAATACATGAACAAGAATGTTCACAACTCAAATGTGGAAATGACAAATATCCTAGTCATACAATAGCCTACTACCTATAATGGTATGTGCAAGAAACCAGACAAAAGTCCATATTGTTTGGCTCTATTTGGATGACATTTAAGAGGCAAAACTAACCTAAGCTGAAGTCCAAATAGTGGTTACCAAGAGGTTCAGAATTGTGCAGAATGGAGCAGGCTGGATTGCTGTAAATTGTTTCTGTATCTTGTTCTGAGTTGTGATTAAATGCAAGTATGCATGGGGAGTCCCAGGTGGTGCAGGGGTAAAGAATCTACCTGCCAATGCAGGAGATATGGGTTTGATCTCTGGGTTAAGAAGCTCCCCTGGAGTAGGAAATGGCAACCCACTCCAGTATCCTTGCCTGGAAAATCCCATGGACAGAGGAGCCTGGCAGGCTACAGTCCATGGGGTCACAAAGAGTTGGACATGACTGAGACACACACACTCCTGGATTTAAAAAATTCTATTGATCTGTATTCCTAAGATCTGTGTACTTCACTGTATGCATTACCACATCCCAATAAAAAATTGGGGGTACTTTATTAAATTTTGTAAAACTGCAAAGTGAACTTTACCTAAAGGGATTTCAGTAACAGCTGCAATTCCCTTTAATTCCTCCTCGAAAGGGCCAGGCAAGTTGCCAAGCAGACCAGGCTGAAAAACAAACACATTAACAATCATTCAACCTCAAGTGTGGCTTTGAGATTTGGTTCTTTTACATATACTCCGTACTAGCCATTGTTGCCACAATAGGTGATCAGAGCTTATTTTTTTTGCCTAAGGGGTTAAAACCCCTGTGTTTTTAAAAATTAATTGATTAATTTTTGGCGCTGCTGGGTCTTCCTTGCTGAGCTCGGGCTTTCCTCTAGTTGCGGCAAGCAGGGCTACTCTCTTGGTGCGGTGCGAGGGTTTCTCCTTGCGGTGGCTTCTCTCCTTTCAAAGCACGGACTCTAGGTGCGAGGGTTAGAGTAGCGGTTGGAGCAGATGGAGTAGTAAATGGGCAGTCGTTGGAGCAGTAGCTGGAGCAGGTTTAGTTGCCCCATGGCATGTTCATCCACAAACCACTTCTTTTATAAATACATTAAAGAGCAACAAACTGCCGAAATTTACCATGCTATTTTATGTCTTGTAACACTACCAAGCACCAGAATTTTAAGTCCCTCTGAGGTTTTAACAGTAGTCTGAAATAAAAGCAAATCTGTCCAAGCTCTTTAGAAGAGGCTGTCAAATTACGCCTTTAAATAAGTACAGAGCCTTCGCTGAATCCTGTGTATATGTGTCCATGTGTGTCTTTAACATTTATTGTAGGAAATAATATTTCTTACCAACTTTTGATCCACTAACTGTACAATTTTTCCACTTGGCACAAATGCATTTATTATATTCTTCATGGAATTCACTATAACTTTCAGCTGAAAAATAAATTTAAAAATTGATAAGAGACATAAGGAAGTGTTGACATTTAACATTAATCTTGACATAGAAAGTATTTAAAGACCATTTCAGAAAAAGCTTGTAATTAATGTACATCCATGTTTACTAAATGATTAGCCCTGTTTTGTAAATCACAGTAATCATAATTGTCATTATACCACACTGATCTGTATACCTAAGAACTGTGCACTTTACTGTATGTATACCATACCCCAATACAAATTTTCTGAAAGCCTATAATCTGTATTTTAATCAAGAACCACACAATGAATTATAGAAGGTTTTATTTTGACTATGTGTGCAATGAATATATATATTAATAAAAAACTGAATGCTTTTTAACCATTAAAAAAGATTAATTTTTGTGTAACAAAAGACAGATACATACTTTTGACTTATCTAACATGCAGCTAAATAAGAGTACTATTTAAAAACATATGTAAACAAGACATATCTTTAACACGACATGTGATTAACTTTAGATGATAATATATGATATGAGATAAAGAAACAAAGGCAGAGGCTAGTAAAAATCGAGAAGCTATAGAGAAATGACATCCTCTTTTCTCTACTGTCATTTATTATAAATGGCAGAGAACCATGGAAAGCAGATTCTTAAAAGTACGTGGTACATAGTATCATGATGTGTTCTTTTAAATACAATTATATTCAGTCAAGTCAGAAATAAAAGATTTAAGAATCACACCCTACCGCTGGTGCTTTGACCACCATCAATTCATGCCATCTTTTGTACGGTGGTAAATCGAGATTTATGGTGAACCACGGAACCGGACCCCGGTAACTGCAATGAGAGGTGTATCATCTTGAGATGTTTAAAATCAGTTTCTTGATGATGGTTAGATAGTTATACCATTATAGGTATGTTACAGACATATTCTTAATAACAACAGAGAAGTTGGTTCTCAAACCAAAATTTGCAAAAAAGCTCATTTTCCACTCAGCGCTTCTGTCCTGGGTCATTTATACAATGCCATTTTAGAAATCCTAAAATGGAATTACAGCATTATAGGAAGGTTAACACATAATGGTGATAGGTAAAATAATCAATTTTGGCTTAATAGCTGTATGTAACCTGAATATCACTGCCAGAAAATATATGCCTTTTCCCATCCTAAATCTCTACAAAAATTAAGTCTAGGCTCAGGGCACTTCTCCAGTTGGTTTCCCAGTCTCAGAATTCCCTCTCAGACAGTCTCAACACTGTTGTCAAATCATTGACTCTAGAGCTGGCTTCAGTAAGGTCACTTTTAAGCCCCCAGAATGGCAACACAGTATATGAGCTTCCCACCATTTTCTTCAAGAACCTCACTACTGACTCAGCCATGCTACACTTCCTACTACACTTCCTCTCTTCTCCATTTTTGTTTGTTTTTTTGCTATGCTGTGCAGCATATGGGATCTTAATTCCCCAACCAGGGGTCAAACCCAGACCCCTTGCATGAAAGCACAGTCTTACCACTGGACCACCAGGGAAGTCCCCACATCCTCTCTCCTCATTCTTCTTAGTAAGTCCAAGCCAAGTCACTGTTCATCATATCCATTCCCCGAAGTCCTACTCTTCAATTTACACACAGCCATTGCTACTGCGAGGACAGTAGCAGCATCCGCTACCTGATCAGTGGAGCCAGGGCTGAAACCCTGATGGATGAACTCTGCAACTATCCTGTCACCATGGAAGCATGACCTCCTGGCACCTGTTACTGGACTGAAAGGGCCTCTTACAGGTGTTCCACTGAGTGACTGACAAGCTTAACGCTGCCCAAAGCCAGCCAGCATCTGCTCCTTCACTGACCTGCTCCGGAGAAGCAAAAGGTGCAGCCCGGTGGGTGCTGCAATGTTACCAGGCTCTTATACAAACACAAATCCAGACTGATTTCCATGGTGGGGGTGGGTTAAGAGGGGATGTGTTAGTTCCTACAAGTCACAGAATTGGCGTCCTACTTATACTTCTGTAGTCACGAATAGGAATAAGCCTCTGGTTAAAGCTGTATGCCTTCTGTCTTCCTTTCTCTGCGGCAGACTACTTTCAGTGCAAGGGAAGAGCAGGGAGAAAATGGTGACGCTTCCTGACACCTCTTCCTTCTTTTTCACATTCTGTACCTGCTGGGGTAGTGAGCCATTCTTAGGTTTTTCCCTATTTAGCCACGTAGGATTTGAAAAGGCCAAAACCCTAAACTAAAAACATTAATGTTCAACACACTAAAACATGTTATTGTCTATTCCTATGTTTTCCAATCCTGTTTTGGCCTCAATAGTTTTGATGATCATGGGCAGGGTTTATTTTTTTTTTTTAAAGTTTCATGTGAGATGCTGCACTCTTTTGTTTCAGCATGATGGGGTGGTTTATACTCAGGCATCACAGAAAATCACAGGTCATCTCTGCATTTGTCAGCATGAGAAAAATACTTAGGGGAAGATAGAAGAATTTAGTGGAGAATGCTAATCCTTTTTTTCTCCCTGATTTTGATGGGCTCAAAATGGGACATTTCATCATGGGGTATTTTCTTCACATTTGTTCAAAGTCTTAGCCAAATGCATACCACACAAACCTCAGGGGAAACAAAATCATCTTAGGATAGAAGACATGACTTAAGTAACATGATCTCGTTACTTCTATGAGATCACACTTAACATGGAGAGAAATCTCCAGGAAGGTAAGAGTAAATCCTGCTGGTCTGACGGTTTACTCACGTGGGCCCAGAAGGAGGATAGGTTGATTTTCTGCAGTCTTCGGTCCACTAAAAAACAAAGACAAAAGTTTCAGAAAAACAGAGTAGGCAATCTGCAAAGATAGCTGGAAAAAACAAAATCAAGCATGATTTGTCATTTTAGATCACTGCAATGCTTCTTAAAAGTCTTTTCCTCCCATGAAAACTTCTAAAATCTCAAACTTAACTGCGTTTTCAGTCTCTTCAATTTGCACTATTTGCCAGGTATTCTAATTTGGCTTTTCGACTGCAAATACACTGAGTTAAGCGGAAATACGAAACAGATGGGGACTTCCTTGGTGGTCCAGTAGTTAAGACTGCACTTCTAATGCCAGGGGTGCAGGTTCGATCCCTGGTCGGGGAACTAAGATCATACATAAATGGATGTAGAGCTGAGTCACTCTGCTACATCTGGAACTAATGCAGCATTGTAAATCAACCATATGTCAATTTTTAAAAAATTTAAAAAAAAATGCAGATGGAGGGAGTTCCCTGGTAGCCTCGTGGTTAGGATTTTGGGCTTTCAGTGCTGTGGCCCAGGTTCAATCCCTGGTGGGGGAACTGAGATCCCAAATGCCCCGTGGTGCAGCCAAAGGAAGAAGAAACTAGAAAAACGTTTATGACACCCAGGTTGATTTATCCCTTCCCAGGATCTGATATTACTTATGAGGTAACTCTACTGCAAGAAATTTGCATCCTAAACCAGACTTTCAGGGCACGGGGCCAGGCCCCTTTGTTAGGTAGTCAGAATAGGGAAAGAGTCCAAAACGGCGGTGGCTAAAAGACCTGGAAGGGGAAAGCCCACGAAAATAGAACAAAGGAAGGTCCGAGGACCAGAGTGAGAACCTCAGGTAAAACAAACAACGCTCCTGCCTAGGCTCAATTTACATAAGACAGGCCTAGGGACAGAGAAACATATAAAAAAAGGAGCCAAGCCCTCTTCCCTCTTCTCTGTCTCTCCTGAGCGATGGGGCGATCTCTTTGCATCTTTGGATTGACGTGCCCTCATGCCTCAAAGATGGATTTTCCTGCTATTATCTAAATAAATAGAGCTGTGACACTGAGCTGTAACACTGATTTATTTAAGAGCTATAACACGGTCTGTCCTCCGAGAGCTGCGACCCGCCGAGGAGGCTTCAATGTCATTCCAAATTTTTGTTGTGACGAGACAAAGAAGCGAGGAGCATACACTTGCCTGCCATCTATGGTGCCGTGACTTGGATATAACCTGGCTGAGACAACCTCCATGCGGAAGAGGCCAGGCGCAGGAGCCCAGCTCAGCGAAGCTCCCGTGGTAGAAGCGGAACGCGAAGAAAACCCAGCCCAGGGGAAGGCCCACCGTGCTGGAAACTGGGACAGCGAAATAGGAACTCAGCAGAAAGCCCACGCGGCTCAGCCTCAGATCCCAACAGACCTCCGGTTAAGGTAGGAGGTCCTAGCTCCTATGGCTGGAGGGACATGCCTAACAAAATCTTAACTCCTTTAGAATCTCTCGTTTCTTGTTTCCTCGAACCCCCGCGAACAGGCGGGCGGCAGTTGGCGCAACTGAGGGCCTCTGGAGAGGCTCCTTTTCGGTATGTCCAAAGGCGCTATCTGCTGGGCCCCAGTAGCTGTTACCCAAGCCGGTGGGGGTTCTTCTGTCCTTACTCTTTGTGCCCAAAATCAGGCCAATGAAAACTGTGAGCACTGGTCAAATATCTAGCAAATTTTCCAGTAGGCTATGAAGGGGATTCCTTGGCACGTTTTTCCCACTGCTTTTTCCTCTTTTCCTCAGCTCTTTCTCCCGGGACTTGAGCCCGACCAAAACCCAGGATGCCTGGCTCAGGCTCTGAGATCTTATTGCAAAAATTCAGTGAGAGACAAAGCGATAAGTGGGAGGTGGATCTGCTAAAAATCCAGAGAGAAGCGCCCGTTCTACAGGGTACTGGCCATGGAATGTGGCCTAACTAAGTTTTGTGAGCGGGGTGAATGCATATACTGAGCAGGAGGATCATCCCAGCCACTGGGGAAACCACCCACTCCTCCCTCTGTTGACAGTGCCTTAGAGCTGTTCTGCCCCTCTGGGTGTGTCTTTTGGTTTACAGATTGGGGATTAAGGTTTGCTCGAATTTGACTTGTCCTGTTGGACCCAACTGATTTTAGTCGGTTTATGTTATACCCCATGCTATGTCATTCTTTCAAAGGTTGTGCTCTGCCCCCCTTTCCCTCCTGTTTCATGCTCCTTTCCTCAGCCCCATCCGGGCCCGCAATGTTGCCTCTACAATCTTCTAGAGGGATAACAAAAAAATAGCTGGCCTTGGGAGAGAAGAACTGTATAACATCCAACCCCTTAGTCCTACCTAGCATTGGTCACACTGGAGACCTTGGGGACACCCAAACTCAGTCTGCCTGGAGATCTGCATCCTGACCCGGGGACGCCTGGCTCTCAGGTTGCGACAGTACTAGGTAGGATGAGCTTACATCCTGGTATCTTCCCATCCACAGTGGACAAACTAGCAATGAGTTACAACCCCTTAATTCTACCCAGCACTGGTCATGCTGGAGACCTTGGGGATGCCCAAACTCCAGCCCAGGGGTCCCAGGAGGTCATCACGCCTTGACCTGTCTAGGGATCCGGTCCTCGAAAGGTTGTCACGTCTCAGCCTTTCGGGGATCCTCTAGTCCTAAGTGTCCCAGGAGGTCGTCACGCCTCGACCTACCCAGGGATTCGATCTCTAGGAGGCTGTCACGCCTCAGCCTGCCTGGAGATCTGCATCCTGATCCGGGGACGCCTGGCTCTCAGGTTGCGGCAGTACTGGGTAGGATAAGCTTCAAAAAGCCTATTAGTTTTTTTCTTTTCCTTTTCCTCCCTAACATGTTGTTTTTCAGATGGGAAATAACCAATTCACTTCCCGGCAGACGCCCTTGAGATGCATCCTTGATAACTGGAAGCTGTTTGATCCTCTAACTCTGAGGAGGAGTCATTTAAAATTCTTTTGTGCCACTGCGTGGCCACGGTATCCACTGGGGGACGAGGAACACTGGCCCAAGGATGGGACTTTAAATTATAATGCCATCCTGCAATTAGTATTATTCTGCAAAAGACAAGGGAAATGGACAGAGATCCCCATGCCCAAATTTTCTTCAGACTGAGAGATATGAAGGAACTCTGTCTTAAGTATGGGATTGTTGTACGCCCTAAAACTGAGCCCACTAGGCAAATGGTGTTAGGCACAGGCAACCAAGAGAAGGAACCCCCCCCCCCATGCGGGCTCACCTCCCACAGCTCCCGAGTTGCCTGGTGCTTCTTCCTTGTATCCAAGCGTGTCCCCATACCCAGGAGCACCCCCTCCACAAAAGCCAGCTTGAGTATGTCCCTTAGTTGAAACTGGAGGAGAATTCAGACCAACTTGCATCCATAAACCCTTCTCCCTCTTAGAACTAAGACAGATCAAACAAGACTTGGGAAGCTATACAAATGACCCAGGCAAATATATAGATACGTTCCAACATATTACCTTGGTCTTTGACTTGACATGGAAGGACATCATGGTCATATTTAGTCAAACTTTATCCAACCCTGAACATACTAGGGTCTTAAAGGAAGTCCGGAGGTATGCAACAGGGCTTCACATGTCAAATGATAGATACCCAGTAGGGGAAAAACTGCAGTTCCCTCCTCCGATCCTAACTGGAATTATAATGACCCTGAGCACATCTGGGAAAGGGATCATTTTCTAATCTGTATAAAGGCAGGTCTGAAAGCAGCCCAGCAAAAAGTAATCAGCTATGCCCGGGTCTCGGCAATAACTCAGGAGCCCAATGAGAACCCCGTTGCCTTTCTAGAAACGCTAAAAGAGGCCCTCCAAAAGTTTACCAATTTGGACTTAGACTCTTACGAAGGACAGGTGATTTTAAAGGACAAATTCCTGTCCCAGTGTGCATCAGATATCAGAATTAAGTTACAACAGCTACAGCAGCAGGACTCTGCTGCCTCTCTAGATGAGATGATCCAGACAGCCACCAATACCTTCTATAATGGAGAACAGGAGAAGGAGGCCAAGGACCAGGAGAGGGAGAGAAGGAAAGAGACAAGGCATGCCCAGATGCTGGCCGCCCTCCAGGGAAGCCCTATGGCACACCCCGAGTCCTTGAATGACAAGGCACGAGGCAAATGCCTAATCTGTAGACAGGCGGGGCATTGGGCCGAAGAGTGTCCTAACACTCTTTGACAAGTCTCCTAGAACAGCTTGCCACAAATGCCATCAACTGGGACACTGGGCGGCACTCTGCCCTCGGGACCCAAGAGCCTCAAGGTCAAGCACCAAGCCTTCCCTCACGATGGTTCAAGAGGACGGAAGCGGCACGATCCAGCCAGCCCACCTGTCACAGATAACCATCATGGGGCTAGAGCCTAGGGTGCAACTGGATGTGGCAGGTAGGTCCGAGAATTTCTTGGTTGACACAGGGGCTACCTACTCTGTCTTGATCTCCTACTCCGGAGCCGTCTCCTCCCAAACCTGTACCATTTTGGGTGCTACAGGAAAAGCAACTACTAGAAGATTCACCCAAGCACTTCTTTGTTGCTGGGATGGACAGATATTTTCCCACCAGTTCCTGGTGGTCCCTGAGTGTCCTGCTCCCTTAATGGGAAGAGACATACTCACTGAACTGGGGACCACCCTTGTGATGGGAAGCTTTTCAGCCCCTAGGGCCCTACAGCTTCTGGTTACTACTGAGGAACCCATTACACCTCCAACAGAGAGAGAACAAAGACTATGGGAAGACAAAATTAACCCCCAGGTGTGGGACCAGGTGATTCCCGGACGAACCCATCAAGCCAAACTGGTCATCACTGTCCTCCAAGATCCCACTCGGTTTCCTAACCGGAAAACAATATCCTCTCAACAGAGAGGCTCGGGAGGGACTACAGCCTTTAGTAAATAAATTCCTTGCTTGTGGGCTATTGGTCCCCACCAGTTTGCCATGTAACACCCCAATCCTCTCAGTAAAGAAAAAGGCGAATGGTTCAAGATCTCCGGATCATAATG